CCACACAGACACAGCCACACACACACACACAGACAGACACACAGACAGACACAAAGCGCTGTTGCTAGCGAGTAGTAACAGCAATTAAATGGGGCACCGCCTGTGTCTAGTAGATAACCACCTCGCCTGGTGTTTACACTATCAACACATCACGATTCACCACATTGTACACAACGACAATGTACGTTTAAAATCATATATTTTATACTGTACGGTATTCAAGTAAATAAAACACCGACGCAAACAATAGAAGCGTCGTGTAGCGTAAACGAATATCTTCAGACTCGCCAGCGGAGTCTGGGCCGCAGTCGTGAGGTCGCATTGCCCACCAGATGCCACAGCTCTGGACACGCCGATTGGCCCAGGCAGATGTCGACGGACATTCTACAAGCCAAGAAGCCGTATCACTTGTCCTCATGAGACCCTCCAATCTTACAGCTGCATGCTAATCTCTCACATTAACATCACGCTAATCTCTCGCATTAACATCACTAGCCCCGGCCACTCCTTTATGACCCTTGGGCTACACCCATTTCAAACCTTGTTAAAACAGTCTGCGTCAGCAGCAGCAGGAGACCACGCTTTCCCACCTGATGATGGACGCTTGTTGTGTTGCACCCGAAACGTCGTGATTCATTTTGTTTTATTTATTTATACCTACGTGACTTTACCGAAAGAACCAAAGAGTTATGGATTCCTGCAGTCACGAAAGCTTCAAATCAAGAATGAGATTCTTACATAGATGGATAATTGCATTTTTATCCGTGTATTTATGCATTATTTTACTTAATTATTTTCATTAACATAACAGTAATTAAAAGGGCGCCACTGTGGCTATGAGATGTTAACTACCTCGCCTGATGTACAGGAGGTCGTGGGTTCAATCCCAACCCTGACGACGCCTGCTGCTGTATGTTTGGAGTTCTGTGTATCTCTCTCATCATCATCACCACTGTGGCTAGATGTTAACTACCTCGCCTGGTGTACAGGAGGTCGTGGATTCAATCCCTACCCTGATGATGCCTGCTGCTGTATGTTTGGAGTTCTGTGTATCTCTCTCATCATCATCATCACCACTGTGGCTAGATGTTAACTACCTCGCCTGATGTACAGGAGGTCCTGGATTCAATCCCTACCCTGACGATGCCTGCTGCTGTATGTTTGGAGTTCTGTGTATCTCTCTCATCATCATCACCACTGTGGCTCGATGTTAACTACCTCGCCTGGTATACAGGAGGTCCTGGATTCAATCCCTACCCTGACGATGCCTGCTGCTGTATATTTGGAGTTTGCGTGTCTCTCTCATCATCATCACCACTGTGGCTAGATGTTAACTACCTCGCCTGGTATACAGGAGGTCGTGGATTTCATCCCGACCCTGACGACGCCTACTGCTGCTGCTGTATATTTGGAGTCTGCGTCTCTCTCCCCGTGGTGGTCCCATGGATTTTTCTCTGGGTCCCCCGGTTTTTTTCCCCTCCACATTTAGAATCAACGTCATGCGTTCAGAGTGTTTGGCTACTGCTGTAAATGTCCACGCGATGATGATGATGATATCAGCCACTTCGTTGAGCTGCTATAATTTGTGATGGCCAGGTGGCAGCTCAGAGGGCCTTACCTGGTCAAATAAATAGTTTAGTTTTAGTGTGTGAAGGCCAGAATGGTGCATGCAACTCTCTCACTCACACTGACAACGATCCCCCGTGTAGCCTGTAACAGACTGTCGGGGCAAGTTCTGTGAGTAGCGAGTAGCAGCGCAGATAAAGGCCGGCACTGTGGCACATTAGGGGGGTGGGTGGCCAGCACCAAGCCCTTCCGCCTTTGTCTCCCCGGTGGCGATGTTTACTACACAACACAGCACCAGGTACTCATTTGAGGCTCATTCTTCACAGCAGTCCAGTCGGGGCACGGAGTCGGAACGTCTCAATGACAACAAACAACACAAAAACGAACGATTGGAGTGCAAGGTACAGGAAAGTAAAACAGATCACTACAAAATATGTGAAATATATGCATGTACGTTAAACGTCTTTCACACAATACGTAGCCAACCGTGCTCATCAGAGGAGTGGGGGAAGAACAAAAAACTAAACACAGTAGCGTAGTGTATAGTGTAATGTATACTGTAGTGGTATTGCATATATGTATAGCGTATGGTAGTGTATAATGTAGTGTATCGTACGTATGTGTATAGTGGTAGAGTAGTGTAGTGCTTAGTAGTGTGTATGCTGAACTTCTTTCACACCATACGTTGCCAAGCGTGCTAATCAGAGGTATGGGTGAAGGACAACAAATTTGACACAACAACAAGCGGTTCTAAATAAATTTGTTTTCAATCTAGACGATTATTTAACAGTGAACAGCTCCAGTGGCTTCCTAATAACGGAAGGAAGTTTGTTCCAGACGGCCGCAGAAGTGCATCTGAAAAGCGCCGCACGATACAAAAGTATACAAGTTAAAATTGTATAAGTACACCAATTCCAAAGCTTTGGCAAGGAAGAAAAACAACAACAGACCCAGACCCCACACCAAGACAACAACAGCCTCAGACCACACCAAGACAACAACAACAACAACAGTCCCAGACCACACCAAGACAACAACAACAACAGTCCCAGACCACACCAAGACCACAACAACAGTCCCAGACCACACTAAGAGCACAACAACAGTCCCAGACCACACCAAGACAACAACAACAGTCCCAGACCACACACCAAGACAACAACAACAGTTCCAGACCACACCAAGACCACAACAACAGTCCCAGACCACACCAAGACCACAACAACAGTCCCAGACCACACCAAGACAACAACAGCCCCAGACCGCACCAAGACAACAACAACAGTCCCAGACCCCACACCAAGACAACAATAACAACAACAGTCCCTGACCACACCAAGACCACAACAACAACAACAGTCCCAGACCACACCAAGACAACAACAACACACCGTCGCACAAAAAAATCCACAAGAACATTGAACTATCAATAACAACACGGGGGGTGAGGGGTATGAATGATTTTTTATTACATTGGCATGCCTTAGACTGGCTCTGTGAGCCTCGGGGTGCTGGTGGTGTGCGTGCACGCGATCGGAGCCAAATGCCGAAACAAATACCAAGCCATGTGGTGTGGCCCAAACTATGAAATATATTACAGATGCGGTTTTAGACCGCGGCATGAAATCACCCACTCACATGCCAACTCACTCACTCAGCCAACTCATTCACTCAGTCACCCACTCACTCACTCAACTCATTCACTCAGTCACCCACTCAATCACTCACTCACTCACCCAACTCATTCACTCAGTCACCCACTCAATCACTCACTCAACTCATTCACTCAGTCACCCACTCAATCACTCACTCACTCACCCAACTCATTCACTCAGTCACCCACTCAATCACTCACTCAACTCATTCACTCAGTCACCCACTCAATCACTCACTCACCCAACTCATTCACTCAGTCACCCACTCAATCACCCACTCACTTGCCAACTCACTCACCCAGTGACTTAGTCACCCACTCAATCACTCACTCACCCACTCACTTGCCAACTCACTCACCCAGTAACTCAGTCAGTCACCCAGTCACTCACCCTCTTACTCATTCACTCAGTCACCCACTCAATCACTCACTCACTCACCCAACTCACTCACTCAGTCACCCACTCAATCACTCACTCACCCAACTCATTCACTCAGTCACCCACACAATCACCCATTCAATCACCCAACTCAATCACTCAATCACCCAGTTACTCTGTCAGTCACCCAGTCACACCCCCTCTTACTCAATCAATCACTCACCCACTCAATCAATCACTCACCCAACTCACCCACTCACTCATCCAACTCATTCACTCAATAACCTAGTTGCTCAGTCACCCAGTCACTCCCCCCCTTACTCATTCACTCACTCACCCACTCAATCACTCATTCACTTGTTAACTCACTCACGCAGTTACTCAGTCAGTCACCCAGTCACTCACCCTCTTACTCACTCACCCACTCAATCAATCACTCACCCAACTCACTCACTCACCCACTCATTTACTCACCCAATCACCCACTCACTCACTCACCCAGTCACCGGCTCGCTCACCCGTTTCACTCACCCAGTCACCCACTTGTTAATTCACCCACTCACCCACCCACTAATTCGCTTCAAGAGATACACAGAGGCAGAGACCCACAAACACAGAGCCATGCCACCATCTATCCCAATATTTGACTCGATCATTTTCAATTGACGCCCCAACCGAGCGATGTAAATTATTTTTCGGAAGCGACCTGGACATGACAAATGCCAAGTCCAACAACGTGTGGAGATGTCTCGCAGCTAAATACTCTACAACGCGTGCCGTTCATTCTAAATACGGAGGGGAAGCAATTCCACTCGACCACGGGGAGAGAGAGAGAGAAAGAGAGAGAGTTGTGACACGCAAACTTCAAATATACACGAGGCGTTTTCAGGGTCGGATTCGAGCCCACGACCTCCTGCATAGCCGGCGATGGAGTTAACATCTCCCAGCCACCGTGGGTTACAGCAGCCGCTCGCTCTGCTGGACCACAGCGGCGTCCCGTCTTCAGGGCAGCCAACTTTTAAACATCTTTCAATTGCATTTTGATTTAAAGCTTTCGTGACTGCAGCGATGCCTGCATTCTTGGTTCTTTCGGTTAAAGTCACCGCGTAGAAGGGAAACTATAAGAATGTTGTCGCTTTACATTCGTATTATTTTATTGTTCCCCTTCCACGTGACACTTTCACCTGCGTGACTTGACCCAATAGAACCAAAGAGTGTGGATCCGAGCAGTCACGGAAGCTTCAAATCTAGAATTCAACGAATTGGACCAAGAGTATCTTTTAACTGCTCACAAACAGTGGAAGCTTGCAGCGATAATATTGGAGGCGAGGCCTAGACAACCGCCTCCCCACGGGCCCCCCCACGCTTGCCTGAGCCGCGCCGGCCGCCCCGAGGCCTCACCGTCATCGGCGTCTCCCGCCAGCAGCGCGGGCCGCTGCTGCAGGCTCTCGAGCAACGCTCTGAGGACGCTGCTGCGGAACGGCGACTCGGGCCGCGCTAAGTCGTCGCTCATGGTCCGCCGCCTCCGCTCTCTCCGTGGTCTCGGACCTCTGAGACGGCGGTGGGAAGGCAGACGGAGAGAGTCGGAGCCGCCAGCAATGGTGGTGGTGGTGGTGGCTGCCGCCTCAAGCTCCCTCAAGTCTGAACGTTGACAGCGGCGGTGCCTCATTTACATATCCACATTCATGCGTATGTATATTAATTAACATAATTATGTGCGGGAGTGGGGGGCGGTGTCGATATGACGAGGGCTGGGAGGAGACGTCACCACAATTAACATTATTATTATGACGAGCCGCATATTTTATGTTAATATGTAAGGCGTTCTAGATTTGGAGTTTTCGTGACCGCAAGGATCCCACATACTCTTTGGTTCTTTCGGTAAAGTCACGTAGGTGAAAACATTTAAATAAAAAAATATATTTTTAATTTACATTTTTGAATTTTTTTCACCTACGTGACTTTACCGAAAGAACCAAAGATATACAATTAAATACTTAGCTCTTTCGGTAAAGTCACGTTGAAGGGAAACAATAAAATAATAAAATATATAAAACAATAAAAATTCTCACGACGTTTCGACCATAACACAAACGGTCGTCATCAGGTGTGAAAAACCAACGGCAAGAAACATTTGAAAGAAGTGGCGGTTTGTATTTATTCATTTATAAACGACGTATTTGTTTATTTAAAACGTTAGCACCACGGGCAGCGATTTGGCAGTTACTTTTGTAGAAGGAGGTCCCATGATGATACTTTTGTAGAACTTTTAATCTTCATTTTACGAATAACTTGCAATTTCATAGTCTAATCTGTTGAGAAAATTACATGGGTTTATATTCCTGGTTCTTTCGGTAAAGTCACCACGTAGAAGGGAAACAATAAAACAATAAAAATATAAAACAAAAAAATTCTCACGACGTTTCGGCTGCAACGGTCATCGAGACGCTGACCTTCCTCAATGATATTCCGCTGTGACTATTCCACCTGAAGACGGAAGCTTGTTGGCTCCGAAACGTCGTGATTTTATTGTTTTATTTTATTTTACCTACGTGACTTTACCGAATAAAACCATAGAGTTTGATTTGAAGCTTTCGTGACTGCAGGAATTACTCTTTGCTTATTTCGGTAAAGTCACGTAGAAAGAATAACAGAGTACGACGTTCCGATTGCAACACAAGCAACCGTCATCAGAACTACATTTGAGAGAGAGACAAAATACAGACACGGAGACACACACGTAGAGAGACAGAGACACACAGAGACACACAAACAGACACAAGCAGAGAGAGACAACACAGAGACACAGAGAGACACACAGAGAGAGACACAGAGACACACGACAGACACACACAGACACAAGCAGAGAGAGACACAGAGACACACAGAGAGAGACACACAACATAGACACACAGACACACAAGCAGAGAGAGACAACACAGAGACACAGAGAGACAGAGAGAGACACAGACACAGAGAGAGACACACATCATAGACACACAGAGAGAGACAACACAGACACACAGAGACACACAACATAGACACACAGACACACAAGCAGAGAGAGACAACACAGAGACACAGAGAGCGAGACACACAGAGAGACAACACAGACACACAGAGACACACAACATAGACACACAGAGACCCAATGCCTCTGTGTCGAGGCCTTAAATAGAGAGAGAGGGGGGGGGGGACAGAGAGAGAGGTGGGTCTGCTGGAGCAGAGAAATGAGCATGTCAATTAAAGACCCAACAGGACCGGTACATTTTAGAGAGATGTGTTTGGAAATTCACCCCGAAGCGATCGAGGGAGAGAAAGAGTGAATGGACCTATGAGAGCCTGATGAATTAATTCGCGGTTAAGTTTGTCGAGCTACGTGACGATATCAGGCACTTCGTTGAGCTATCATGTGGCTAGGCCGCTTCTGAAAAATAGCTCCATATCTCAGTGGGCTTTAATCAAGTCTTTACGCAGATTCTGATTCTAAAACTCGCTTTTCCACGGTGGTATGAAAACGAGACGTCAGTCATCAACATCCTAGTAAGAATTTTAATTAAGCACATTTCACATGGAACACAAACGACCGATTAGAAATCGTGTTAAACACATGCACATTCTTTTAGCAAAACAAATCGTATACAAAAAATATATAAATCACCGGTAATGCGTGGGTGTTCGCGTAATGATGTGGACACATTTTTGTCGTGGTACCTTCCATCACCAAACACAGCCAAAGGCTGAATTAGCACAGTTGGGCTACGTTAGGTGCAAAATAAGTTCATAACATCTACAGAAGTGTTTGACGACCCGCCAACTGCGATTGTTTCAGCTCACTCGCAGGTGAGCAGGAGAGTGGGTGGGAGTGTGAATGGGAGAGTGGGTGGGAGTGTGAATGGGAGAGTGGGTGAGTGGGTGGGAGTGTGAATGGGAGAGTGGGTGGGAGTGTGAATGGGAGAGTGGGTGAGCAGGAGAGTGGGTGGGAGTGTGAATGGGAGAGTGGGTGGGAGTGTGAATGGGAGAGTGGGAGAGTGGGTGAGTGGGTGGGAGTGTGAATGGGAGAGTGGGTGAATAGGAGAGTGGGTGGGAGTGTGAATGGGAGAGTGGGTGGGAGTGTGAATGGGAGAGTGGGTGAATGGGAGAGTGGGTGGGAGTGTGAATGGGAGAGTGGGTGAATGGGAGAGTGGGTGGGAGTGTGAATGGGAGAGTGGGTGGGAGTGTGAATGGGAGAGTGGGAGAGTGGGTGAGCAGGAGTGTGAATGGGAGAGTGGGTGGGAGTGTGAATGGGAGTGGGAGAGTGGGTGAATAGGAGAGTGGGTGGGAGTGTGAGTGGGAGAGTGGGTGGGAGTGTGAATGGGAGAGTGGGAGAGTGGGTGAGTGGGTGGGAGTGTGAATGGGAGAGTGGGTGAATGGGAGAGTGGGTGGGAGTGTGAATGGGAGAGTGGGTGAATGGGAGAGTGGGTGGGAGTGTGAATGGGAGAGTGGGTGAATGGGAGAGTGGGTGGGAGTGTGAATGGGAGAGTGGGTGGGAGTGTGAATGGGAGAGTGGGAGAGTGGGTGAGCAGGAGAGTGGGTGGGAGTGTGAATGGGAGAGTGGGTGGGAGTGTGAATGGGAGTGGGAGAGTGGGTGAATAGGAGAGTGGGTGGGAGTGTGAGAGTGGGTGGGAGTGTGAATGGGAGAGTGGGAGAGTGGGTGAGTGGGTGGGAGTGTGAATGGGAGAGTGGGTGGGTGAGTGGGAGAGTCGGAGAGTGAGTGGGAGAGTGAGAGAGTAGGAGAGTGAGAGTGTGAGAGTGAGTGAGAGAGTGAGAGAGAGTGTGAGAATGGGAGAGTGAGAGTGTGAGAGAGTAGGAGAGAGAGTGGGTAAGTGAAAGAGTGGGAGAGTGTGTGAGTGGGAAAGTGAGTGCACGAGTGGGTGAGTGGCAGGGTGGTTGCGTTGGAGAGTGAGTTGGATGAGATTAGGTTGAGTCTGAGACTCTACCCTGGTCTCATTGCACGGCGCTTTCAGATACCCTTCTGCGGCTGTCTGGAATGCCTCTTCATTCCGATATTCGGAAGCCCCTGGGAGCTATGGCCCTTTCAAATCATCCAGATTGACAAACTAATTTCTTTAGAACTGCTTATTGTGTTTAGTTTGTCCTGCGCACCTCTGATTAGCACGGTTGGATACGTAAGGTGCCAAAGAAGTTCAATACACGCACATATCTACGTCAGTTCTCACCTGGTCAAACAAATACATTTTTACATGTATAATCGTGTCTACGAATCGTGATAATCGATTCGCGGTGGTTGGGGTCTGATTGGCTGAGAGCGTGCGTCGATCTCATTGGCTGAGAGCGTGCATGTCGCTCTCATTGGCTGAGTGCGTGCATCGCCCTCATTGGCTGAAAGCGGGTGCGTCACTCATTGGCTTAGAGCGTGCGTGTTCCTCTCATTGGCTGAGAGCGGGCGTCGCTCTCATTGGCTGAAAGCGTGTGCATCACTCATTGGCTTAGAGCGTGCGTGTTCCTCTCATTGGCTGAGAGCGGGCGTCGCTCTCATTGGCTGAGAGCGTCTGCGTCATTCTCATTGGCTGAGCGAATGATGGGGGCTGGAACATTCACTTGGTCGGCGCTGCTGTTGCTCACTCGTGAACAAGCCGCTATAACGAATCAGCGTTCAACGAAGTCTGCCTGTATCAATTACAGTTACTTTTCGATTTAAAGCTTTCGTGACTGCAAGGATTCATCTTCTTTGGTTCTTTCGGTAAAGTCACCACGTAGAATGAGAATAAAATAATAAATTAATCAAATAACACAATAAAATTCTCACGACGTTTCGGCCACAACACAGCGCTTAGCTCCAGCGCTGTCCTCGAGACAGTCTCGTCCCTTCACCTGATGAAGGCCACTTGTGCTGTGGCCGAAACGTCGTGAGAATTTTATTGTGCTATTTTATTTTATTAATTTATTAATTTATTCTCATTCTACGTGACTTTACCGAAAGAACCAAAGAAGAATTACAGTTACTTTTGTTATGGAGCTTAAGACAAACATTCCCCATGTAGCCTGTAACAGACTGTCGGGGCAAGGACTTTTAGTAACGAGTCACAGGGGGTGGGTGGCCAGCACCACGCATGCGCGGCCGCCTTTGTCTCCCCAGTGGCGATGTTTACTAAACACCGCACCAGCTTTCTCGTTTGAGGCCGAGTCCAAGTATGGGATGCTGAGGAGCAGGTCAGATTAGTCATTGCTGCTGTTGGTGGCCGTGAGCGGGAATCAAAGTCGGGTCTCTGAACCGCGCTAACCACTGTGCCACCACTCCAAACATTTAGCTTAAACGCGCACAAATGTGCGGACAATGCACCAATACTTTCCGGGTACGTGCTGAAGAGATCAATTACACGCTTCTCAATCGGTATCGCGGACGACAGCGACGGCTGCAGAAACAAAAGGGCCTGGCGGGATCCTGGAAAGGAGAAATCGAGGCTCGCCGAAGCTTTCCCGGATTAAAGAATCGTAGTCGTGTAGTAGAACTCTGGATTATTCACGCTCATGACTGGGAGGGCGGCCCGAGGCTACATTCACAAATCGTGGCTAATCGAAAGAAAATCAATCGCTGCCCACTGTCGTAAACATATGCAACTACTTACCTAAAACGGAATTTATATTAGCGCCTTTACAGAGAATCAACGATGGTATAAACAACGCACGTGTGTGAATGTAACGGTGGAGTTGAAGTGAATGAAACAAATGGCCGGAACCAATAGGGGCGAATCTGTGATGATGCGTGGATTCGGTGGAATGAAAAATTGATGACATTAAATGATGATGGATCCACTGAATGAATTAGGTTAATGAGCGAGGGCAATGTAATGAGAATATTAAGAGGGAACAATAACGGTGGATAGCAAAGTCACGCCAATCAACATCAATCAAACTCCGCCACCCACTGTTGTAAAGATATTGCAACTACTGTCCTATAGAGGCGATCACGTGAATGCAACGATTGCAATACACATTTCCAAGAATAACGATGTTGTATCAACTGTTTAACGGCAGCTCCACAGCCTACTTCAGCGGTTTTTCTTGCTGCTTGTCTAACCTGATGACGATTGCTGGTGTTGCGATCGAAACGTCGTGATATATTATTTTTTCTACCTACGTGACTTTACCGAAAGAACCAAAGAGTGTGTTTTTTTATATTCTTGGTTCTTTCGGTAAAGTCACCACGTAGAAGGGAAACAATACAATAATGAAAATATTAAGCAATAAAGTTATCACGACGTTTCGACTGCAACACAAGCAATCATCATCATTAGGTGTGAAAACCACAGCAAGAAAATTTGAAAAAAGTGGCGGTTTTTCAAATTTTCTTGCTGTGGTTTTCACACCTGATGACGATTGCTTGTGTTGCAGTCGAAACGTCGTGAGAATTTTATTGTTTTATATTTTTATTATTGTATTGTTTCCCTTTTATGTGACTTTACCGAAAGAACCAAGAATATGAATCCCTGCAGTCACGGAAGCTTTAAATCAAAAGTATGTTTTTAGATAATTAATTTGGGCTTCAGGGAAAATCATCAACTATTGATTTAAGTAAAAATCTCTGGTGCACGGGTCATTCGCGAATTGGATAAACCACACGCAGATAATCGAGAGTCTACTGAAATTATAAACGCAACATTCAATATTAATTAACGTCAAACATTCAAGTGGTCAAATTATTTACAGATTCTATACGAAGACGAAGATCACCTAGGCAGCCTACACAAGCTGTTTGGGCGAGTGCTGTGTGTGAACAGCACCTGTAGGCCGGCAAAGGAGTGCAGATCCACACAAACGAATAACAACAGCCGCCATTCGTCACTAAGTGGCGGCAACGCCATCACGGTACCTGTGCCAGGCTAGGTGGACTGTGAGGCCATGTGAAGTGGCAGGAAGGCTCGGTGGCAGGTCACGAGACAGACCCAGCAGGTGCCATGGGATGAATGACTGAGATGGCTTGCCGATGCATCACCTGTGCCCCCTACAGTGTCAACTCGCTGCGTTTTAGCCACTCGGTGCTCCGCTCGTTGTTGTGAGCGTTGCTCCTCGACTATTGTTTTTGGAAGGCGACTGCCTCGAACTGCCCAGCAATATCCTTCACGAGCCTCCCCCCATAGAGGCCGATCTTGACACTGCTGGTACCAGTCATAGGCAAGTCCACACATCCTTCTGTACTGCATCACTCTATATCTTCTCTAGGCCTGTCGTGCCCGTTTAGCCCCTCTATGCAGCCAAACAAAAGTTGCTTGGGCACGCGGTGGCTGAGCATGTGGGCTACACGACCCAGCCAACGCAGCATCATCTGCTAGAGTTCACCAATGGGACCATGTCCAGATCTCTTAAGGATCTGTGAGCTCCTCACACTGCAATCCAATCTGGTTAAACCCTGGATGGATCATAGGCAAGCCAGCCTAAATATTTCAAACCGGCACAAATGGCCCTGCTAAGGGATCCGCTTTTCGCAAACATAGAGAAAAGAGGGCATGACTGTGGCCGAGAATACCCGGAACTTCGTGTGGAGTATTACTCCCAGGTAGCTTCCACACAGCGTTACACAGCTGATGAAAAGATGCTACTCGACCGATTTGGAGTGAGACCTCCATCGCGAAACTGGAGCTGGTCATAAGCACACTGCGAGAGTCTGCGAACTCCTCCACAATTTCCACAACACTCATGGAGAGTTGAGGGGGGTGGAGTATTTGATGATAGCAATTCGGAGATCATCAGCATATGTAACATGGTTGACCAATAGGAAGCCATCCCTTGACTGCACCCAAACATCGATGAGCCTCCAATTGTATCTGCTGCACTCGATGAAACTTCTCATCACACCATCTTGAAAAGCATCTCTAACTAGGTGGTGAAAGATGTTAAATAGTGTCATGGCTAGAGGACATCCCTGGTCTAGCCTATCATGAGATAGGCAAGACTAGGCTATTGTGGGTTTGAATAGGATCCTAGATGGACACCCACCACCGCAGTGGAAGAATGGCAGGCGCAACTTACCAAGCCCATGGTTAGTGGGCAGATCAAGTCCACGGTAGGTCCTGGTGTCAAGGACATGGGCCCGCATCCGCTGTTCCATCACTATATAGTCCAGTAGATGTTCTTGATTGGCACCTATCCCAAGGGGCCACTTTAGCCAGCACCTGTGAGAGGTCATAGAAGGCCTCTGACTCATCCGCCTTGCCTGCATCCCTCCAATGATGTTCGTCTTCGGTGGGGACGTAGGCAACCACCATCACCGCCATTTCTCGCTTCCCGTTGTTGAGGAAGCGAGCCACACGTAGCCAGGGACTCACAACTTCCCACACCTCACCTCCACGCTCCCACACCCCCTTCATTATTTCGTTGTCTCCTACCTCGAGTGGAGGACTGTCCACCCCACCTGGTCCACCGAACCTCCTGTATTCTACAGAGGTCCAGACAGTACCGGTCCATAGACTCGCACACACAAAGACAAAGACCGCCCCCGTATAGCCTCCACAAACTGTGGGGCAAGTGCTGTTAGCGAGCACCTATGAAGGCCGGCACTGTGGCACACGAGGGGGTGGGTGGCCAACAACATGCAAGCCCGGCCGCCTTTGTCTCCCTAGTGGCGATGTTTACACATCGCACCAGGTCACTCATATGAGGCTGAGTCGACCTAAGGGAGACCCACGACCGGTTCAGATAATCGTCGCTGGTGTTGGCCGTGCACGGGAATCGAACTCTGGTCGCCAGGTTCATAGCGCTAACCGCTACACTACCGCTCACACACACACACAAGTTGAAACACTCACGCAGACTGTAGGGGCAAGTGCTGTCAGTAGCGAGCAGCAGCAGCAGCACCTACGAAGGCCGGCAATGTGGCACAACGACTCGCCCGGCCGCCTTTGTATCCCCAACGCTGATGTCTCAGACGCACAGCACCAGGTCACGGCGAGGATCCTCTGAGTCTCACCACCAAGGCAGTCATTTGTGGGTGACACGGGGTGGCAGTGATTGTCCACCCTGGTGGTTGGTAGTCTTGGTGGACAGAGTAGTGAGTGGGTGAGACACGGGCTGGCTGTGATTGTCCACCCTGGTGGTGGTGAGTTGGTGAGACACGGGCTGACTGTGATTGTCCATCCTGGTGGTGGTGAATGGGTGAGACACGGGGTGGCTGTGATTGTCCATCCTGGTGGTGGTGAGTTGGTGAGACACGGGGTGGCTGTGATTGTCCACCCTGGTGGTGGTGGGTGGGTGAGACACGGGGTGGCAGTGATTGTCCACCCTGGTGGTGGTGAGTGGGTGAGACACGGGGTGGCTGTGATTGTCCACCCTGGTGGTGGTGGGTGGGTGAGACACGGGCTGAGTGTGATTGTCCATCCTGGTGGTGGTGAGTGGGTGAGACACGGGGTGGCTGTGATTGTCCACCCTGGTGGTGGTGGGTGGGTGAGACACGGGCTGACTGTGATTGTCCACCCTGGTGGTGGTGAGTGGGTGAGACACGGGGTGGCTGTGATTGTCCACCCTGGTGGTGGTGAGTTGGTGACACGGGCTGGCTGTGATTGTCCACCCTGGTGGTGAGTGGGTGACACGGGCTGGCTGTGATTGTCCACCCTGGTGGTGGTGAGTTGGTGACACGGGCTGGCTGTGATTGTCCACCCTGGTGGTGGTGAGTTGGTGACACGGGCTGGCTGTGATTGTCCACCCTGGCGGTGGTGAGTTGGTGACACGGGCTGGCTGTGATTGTCCACCCTGGTGGTGGTGAGTGGGTGACACGGGCTGGCTGTGATTGTCCACCCTGGTTGTGGTGGTGGTGAGTGGGTGAGACACGGGCTGGCTGTGATTGTCCACCCTGGTTGTGGTGAGTTGGTGACACGGGCTGGCTGTGATTGTCCACCCTGGTGGTGGTGAGTGGGTGAGACACGGGGTGGCTGTGATTGTCCATCCTGGTGGTGGTGAGTGGGTGAGACGGGCTGGCTGTGATTGTCCACCCTGGTGGTGGTGAGTTGGTGACACGGGCTGGCTGTGATTGTCCACCCTGGTGGTGGTGAGTGGGTGACACGGGCTGGCTGTGATTGTCCACCCTGGTGGTAGTGAGTGGGCGACACGGGCTGGCTGTGATTGTCCACCCTGGTGGTGGTGGTGGTGAGTGGGTGAGACACGGGCTGGCTGTGATTGTCCACCCTGGTGGTGGTGGTGAGTGGGTGACACGGGCTGGCTGTGATTGTCCACCCTGGTGGTGGTGGTGAGTTGGTGACACGGGCTGGCTGTGATTGTCCACCCTGGTGGTGGTGGTGGTGAGTTGGTGAGACACGGGCTGGCTGTGATTGTCCACCCTGGCGGTGGTGGATTAGGAGGTGGACTATCAGAGGGCGTCACGCGCGTGCCTCCACTCGTGGCGTGTGCTCTGCAGGGCGAGCGTGCGCTCGTGGTCCACCGTCACGTAGTCCACCCGGCACAAGGCCAGCACCAGCGGGGACGGGGGGGAGGGGGGCAGCACCCCCACCTGGGGGGGGGGGGGGGGGGGGGTGGGGGTGAGGGGAGTGAGGAATGGTGGTGGTGAGCGTGGTGATAGTGATAGTGATGGTGCTGGTGATGATAGTGATGGTGCTGGTGCTGGTACTAGTGATGGTGCTAGTGATGGTGCTGGTGATGGTAGTGATGGTACTAGTGATGGTAGTGATGGTACTAGTGATGGTGCTGGTGATGGTAGTGATGATAGTGATGGTGCTAGTGATGATAGTGATGGTAGTGATGGTAGTGATGGTGCTAGTGATGGTAGTGATGGTACTAGTGATGGTGCTAGTGATGGTGCTAGTGATGATAGTGATGGTGCTGGTGATGGTAGTGATGGTGCTGGTGATGATAGTGATGGTGCTGGTGCTAGTGATGGTGCTGGTGATGGTAGTGATGGTGCTAGTGATGGTAGTGATGGTAGTGATGGTGCTAGTGATGGTGCTAGTGATGATAGTGATGGTAGTGATGGTGCTAGTGATGGTACTAGTGATGGTGCTAGTGATGATAGTGATGATAGTGATGGTGCTAGTGATGGTGCTAGTGATGGTAGTGATGGTACTAGTGATGGTGCTAGTGATGATAGTGATGGTGCTAGTGATGGTAGTGATGGTGCTAGTGATGGTACTAGTGATGGTAGGGATGGTAGTGATGGTGCTAGTGATGGTGCTAGTGATGATAGGGATAGTAGTGATGGTGCTAGTGATGATAGGGATGGTAGTGATGGTACTAGTGGTGGTGCTAGTGATGGTGCTAGTGATGGTAGGGATGGTAGTGATGGTGCTAGTGATGATAGGGATGGTAGTGATGGTGCTAGTGATGGTAGTGATGGTGCTAGTGATGGTAGGGATGGTAGTGATGGTGCTAGTGATGGTGCTAGTGATGATAGGGATGGTAGTGATGGTGCTAGTGATGGTGCTAGTGATGGTAGTGATGGTAGTGATGGTGCTAGTGATGGTGCTACTGATGATAGTGATGGTAGTGATGGTGCTAGTGATGGTGCTAGTGATGATAGTGATGATAGTGATGGTGCTAGTGATGGTGCTGGTGATGGTGCTGGTGCTGGTGCTAGTGATGGTACTAGTGATGGTGCTGGTGATGGTGCTGGTGCTGGTGCTAGTGATGGTGCTGGTGATGGTAGTGATGGTACTAGTGATGGTAGTGATGGTACTAGTGATGGTGCTAGTGATGGTAGTGATGGTAGTGATGGTGCTAGTGATGGTACTAGTGATGGTGCTAGTGATGATAGTGATGGTGCTAGTGATGGTGCTAGTGATGGTAGTGATGGTACTAGTGATGGTGCTAGTGATGATAGTGATGGTACTAGTGATGGTGCTGGTGATGGTAGTGATGATAGTGATGGTGCTAGTGATGATAGTGATGGTAGTGATGGTGCTAGTGATGGTGCTAGTGATGATAGTGATGGTAGTGATGGTGCTAGTGATGGTACTAGTGATGGTGCTAGTGATGATAGTGATGATAGTGATGGTGCTAGTGATGGTGTTAGTGATGGTAGTGATGGTACTAGTGATGGTGCTAGTGATGATAGTGATGGTGCTAGTGATGGTAGTGATGGTGCTAGTGATGGTACTAGTGATGGTAGGGATGGTAGTGATGGTGCTAGTGATGGTGCTAGTGATGATAGGGATAGTAGTGATGGTGCTAGTGATGATAGGGATGGTAGTGATGGTACTAGTGGTGGTGCTAGTGATGGTGCTAGTGATGGTAGGGATGGTAGTGATGGTGCTAGTGATGATAGGGATGGTAGTGATGGTGCTAGTGATGGTAGTGATGGTGCTAGTGATGGTAGGGATGGTAGTGATGGTGCTAGTGATGGTGCTAGTGATGATAGGGATGGTAGTGATGGTGCTAGTGATGGTGCTAGTGATGGTAGTGATGGTAGTGATGGTGCTAGTGATGGTGCTAGTGATGATAGTGATGGTAGTGATGGTGCTAGTGATGGTGCTAGTGATGATAGTGATGGTGCTAGTGATGGTGCTGGTGATGGTGCTGGTGCTGGTGCTAGTGATGGTACTAGTGATGGTGCTGGTGATGGTGCTGGTGCTGGTGCTAGTGATGGTGCTGGTGATGGTAGTGATGGTACTAGTGATGGTAGTGATGGTACTAGTGATGGTGCTAGTGATGGTAGTGATGGTAGTGATGGTGCTAGTGATGGTACTAGTGATGGTGCTAGTGATGATAGTGATGGTGCTAGTGATGGTGCTAGTGATGGTAGTGATGGTACTAGTGATGGTGCTAGTGATGATAGTGATGGTGCTAGTGATGGTAGTGATGGTGCTAGTGATGGTACTAGTGATGGTGCTAGTGATGGTAGGGATGGTAGTGATGGTGCTAGTGATGGTGCTAGTGATGATAGGGATAGTAGTGATGGTGCTAGTGATGATAGGGATGGTAGTGATGGTACTAGTGATGGTGCTAGTGATGGTGCTAGTGATGGTAGGGATGGTAGTGATGGTGCTAGTGATGGTGCTAGTGATGATAGGGATGGTAGCGATGGTGCTAGTGATGGTAGTGATGGTGCTAGTGATGGTAGGGATGGTAGTGATGGTGCTAGTGATGGTGCTAGTGATGATAGGGATGGTAGTGATGGTGCTAGTGATGGTGCTAGTGATGATAGGGATGGTAGTGATGGTGCTAGTGATGGTGCTAGTGATGATAGGGATAGTCGTGATGGTGCTAGTGATGATAGGGATGGTAGTGATGGTACTAGTGATGGTGCTAGTGATGGTGCTAGTGATGGTAGGGATGGTAGTGATGGTGCTAGTGATGGTGCTAGTGATGATAGGGATGGTAGCGATGGTGCTAGTGATGGTAGTGATGGTGCTAGTGATGGTAGGGATGGTAGTGATGGTGCTAGTGATGGTGCTAGTGATGATAGGGATGGTAGTGATGGTGCTAGTGATGGTGCTAGTGATGATAGGGATGGTAGTGATGGTGCTAGTGATGGTGCTAGTGATGATAGGGATGGTAGTGATGGTGTTAGTGATGGTGCTAGTGATGGTGCTAGTGATGATAGTGATTGTGCTAGTGATAGTGCTAGTGGTGGTAGTGATGGTGCTAGTGATGGTAGTGATGGTGCTAGTGATGGTAGTGATGGTGCTAGTGATGGTGCTAGTGATGGTACTAGTGATAGTACTAGTGATAGTACTAGTGATGATAGTGATGGTGCTAGTGATTGTGCTAGTGATGGTGCTAGTGATGATAGTGATGGTGCTAGTGATGGTGCTAGTGATGATAGTGATGGTACTAGTGATGGTACTAGTGATGATAGTGATGGTGCTAGTGATTGTGCTAGTGATGGTGCTAGTGATGGTGCTAGTGATGGTACTAGTGATGATAGTGATGGTGATAGTGATTGTGCTAGTGATGATAGTGATGGTGCTAGTGATGATAGTGATGATAGTGATGGTGCTAGTGATGATAGTGATGATAGTGATTGTGCTAGTGATGGTAGTGATGGTACTAGTGATGGTGCTAGTGATGATGATAGTGATGGTGCTAGTGATGGTGCTAGTGATGGTAGTGATGGTACTAGTGATGGTGCTAGTGATGATGATAGTGATGGTGCTAGTGATGGTGCTAGTGATGATACTAGTGATGGTACTAGTGATGGTGCTAGTGATGGTGCTAGTGATGGTGCTAGTGATGGTAGTGATAGTGCTAGTGATGATGATAGTGATGGTGCTAGTGATGGTACTAGTGATGATGCTGGTGATGGTGCTAGTGATGATAGTGATGGTGCTAGTGATGGTGTTAGTGGTGATAGTGATGGTGTTAGTGATGGTGCTAGTGATGGTAGTGATGGTACTAGTGATGGTGCTAGTGATGGTGTTAGTGATGATAGTGATGGTACTAGTGATGGTACTAGTGATGGTACTAGTGATGATAGTGATGGTGCTAGTAATGATAGTGATGGTGCTAGTGATGGTACTAGTGATGGTGCTAGTGATGGTACTAGTGATGATAGTGATGGTGCTAGTGGTGATGATAGTGATGGTGCTAGTGATGGTGCTAGTGATGGTGCTAGTGATGGTGCTAGTGATGGTACTAGTGATGATAGTGATGGTGTTAGTGATGGTGCTAGTGATGGTACTAGTGATGGCGCTAGTGATGGTGCTAGTGATGATAGTGATGGTGCTAGTGATGGTACCAGTGATGATAGTGATGGTGCTAGTGATGGTAGTGATGGTACTAGTGATGATAGTGATGGTGCTAGTGATGGTGCTAGTGATGGTGTTAGTGGTGATAGTGATGGTAGTGATGGTACTAGTGATGGTGCTAGTGATGGTGCTAGTGATGGTGCTAGTGATGGTACTAGTGATGGTGTTAGTGATGGTGCTAGTGATGGTGCTAGTGATGGTGCTAGTGATGATAGTGATGGTACTAGTGATGGTGCTAGTGATGGTGCTAGTGATGGTACTAGTGATGGTGTTAGTGATGGTAGTGATGGTGCTAGTGATGGTGCTAGTGATGATAGTGATGGTGCTAGTGATGGTACTAGTGATGGTGCTAGTGATGGTAGTGATGGTGTTAGTGATGGTGCTAGTGATGGTGCTAGTGATGGTAGTGATGGTGTTAGTGATGGTGCTAGTGATGGTGCTAGTGATGATAGTGATGGTAGTAGTGATGGTGCTAGTGATGATAGTGATGGTAGTGATGGTGCTAGTGATGGTGCTAGTGATGATAGTGATGGTAGTGATGGTGCTAGTGATGATAGTGATGGTGCTAGTGATGGTGCTAGTGATGGTGTTAGTGATGGTGCTAGTGATGATAGTGATGGTAGTGATGGTGCTAGTGATGGTGCTAGTGATGGTAGTGATGGTGCCATTGATGGTACTAGTGATGATAGTGATAGTGCTAGTGATGGTAATGATGGTACTAGTGATGATAGTGATGGTGCTAGTGATGGTACTAGTGATGATAGTGATGGTGCTAGTGATAGTGCTAGCGATGGTGCTAGTGATGATAGTGATGGTACTAGTGATGATAGTGATGGTGCTAGTGATGGTAGTGATGGTGCTAGTGATGGTGCTAGTGATGGTAGTGATGGTGCCATTGATGGTACTAGTGATGATAGTGATGGTGCTAGTGATGGTAGTGATGGTACTAGTGATGATAGTGATGGTGCTAGTGATGGTACTAGTGATGATAGTGATGGTGCTAGTGATAGTGCTAGCGATGGTGCTAGTGATGATAGTGATGGTACTAGTGATGATAGTGATGGTGCTAGTGATGGTAGTGATGGTGCTAGTGATGGTGCTAGTGATGGTGCTAGTGATAGTGCTAGCGATGGTGCTAGTGATGATAGTGATGGTACTAGTGATGGTACTAGTGATGATAGTGATGGTGCTAGTGATGGTACTAGTGATGGTGCTAGTGATGGTAGTGATGGTGTTAGTGATGGTGCTAGTGATGGTGCTAGTGATGGTGCTAGTGATGATAGTGATGGTGCTAGTGATGGTACTAGTGATGATAGTGATGGTGATAGTGATAGTGCTAGCGATGGTGCTAGTGATGATAGTGATGGTACTAGTGATGGTACTAGTGATGATAGTGATGGTACTAGTGATGATAGTGATGGTACTAGTGATGGTACTAGTGATGATAGTGATGGTGCTAGTGATGGTGCTAGTGATGCTAGTGATGGTGCTAGTGATGGGTCACCGGTGCGTTCGTAATCCCCCGAGCCTCCACGTCCACGTCCAGGTAGTTTACGTGCGAAGCAGCAGTCACCATGCAGCTCTACAGAGACACAGATCCCATCCCGTGTGGCCTTCACAGACTGTTGGGGCAAGTGCTGCTAGCCAGCTCTACAACAACAACAGCAGCCACCGATTGCCACCATCTGGCGTTGATGTTACCACGGCACCTGTGCCAGGCTAGGTGCACTCCAAAGCCACTCACTCACTCAGCCACGCACTCACTAGCTGAGCCTCTCACCCAGTCACTCACTCACCCACGCACTCACTCACCCACCCACCCAATACCACCACCAATACCACCAACACCAATACCACCACCACCACCACCATCACCACACTGACGCGTGCGTCGTTACCATGGGGATGTATCCGTCTTTCTCGGTGTCCCAGGGCGGCTGGGTCTCAGTGGGCTCGGAGCTCCTGCGGAGGGAGAAGCGTCCCATCAAGAGACACGCAGCATGGTGGAGGTTGTAGCGGACGAGGGGCAATGCCAGTGAGTTCATGCATCACATAACACAGCAAAAAACACCCCTGCCAATGTTGGATGTACCAAGTTTCAGTTATAACGAATTGTGGATTTATACGAGACTATAAACTATTTAAAACTAAACTTTTATTTTACCAGGTAAGGCCCACTGAGCTATGTCGCTCTTGAAGTCTATGGCAGCCTTTAACATTGAAGTCTATGGCAGCCTTTAACATTTAAGTCTATGGGAGCCTTTAACATTGAAGTCTATGGGAGCCTTTAACATTGAAGTCTATGGGAGCCTTTAACATTGAAGTCTATGGCAGCCTTTAACATTGAAGTCTATGGGAGTCTTTAACATTGAAATCTATGGGAGCCTTTAAGATTGAAGTCTATGGAAGTATTTAACATTGAAGTCTATGGGAGCCTTTAACATTGAAGTCTATGGGAGTATTTAACATTGAAGTCTATGGGAGTAATTAACATTGAAGTATATGGCAGCCTTTAACATTGAGGTCTATGTGAGTATTTAACATTGAAGTCTATGGCAGCCTTTAACATTGAAGTCTATGGGAGCCTTTAACATTGAAGTCTATGGGAGCCTTTAACATTGAAGTCTATGGGAGCCTTTAACATTGAAGTCTATGGGAGCCTTTAACATTGAAGTCTATGGGAGCCTTTAACATTGAAGTCTATGGGAGCCTTTAACATTGAAGTCTATGGCAGCCTTTAACATTGAAGTCTATGGGAGCCTTTAACATTGAAGTCTATGGCAGCCTTTAACATTGAAGTCTATGGGAGCCTCTAACATTGAAGTCTAAGGGAGCCTTTAACATTGAAGTATATGGGAGCCTTTAACATTGAAGTCTAAGGGAGCCTTTAACATTGAAGTCCATGGGAGTATTTAACATTGAAGTCTATGGGAGCCTTTAACATTGAAGTCTATGGGAGTATTTAATATTGAAGTCTATGGCAGCCTTTAACATTGAAGTCCATGGGAGTATTTAACATTGAAGTCTATGGCAGCCTTTAACATTGAAGTCTATGGGAGCCTTTAACATTGAAGTCTATGGGAGCCTTTAACATTGAAGTCTATGGGAGCCTTTAACATTGAAGTCTATGGCAGCCTTTAACATTGAAGTCTATGGCAGCCTTTAACATTGAAGTCTATGGGAGCCTTTAACATTGAAGTCTATGGGAGTATTTAACATTGAAGTCTATGGGAGCCTTTAACATTGAAGTCTATGGGAGTATTTAATATTGAAGTCTATGGAAGTATTTAACATGAAGTCTATGGGAGCCTTTAACATTGAAGTCTATGGGAGCCTTTAACATTGAAGTCTATGGGAGCCTTTAACATTGAAGTCTATGGGAGCCTTCAACATTGAAGTCTATGGGAGCCTTTAACATTGAAGTCTATGGGAGCCTTTAACATTGAAGTCTATGGGAGCCTTTAACATTGAAGTCTATGGGAGTATTTAATATTGAAGTCTATGGCAGCCTTTAACATTGAAGTCCATGGGAGTATTTAACATTGAAGTCTATGGCAGCCTTTAACATTGAAGTCTATGGGAGCCTTTAACATTGAAGTCTATGGGAGCCTTTAACATTGAAGTCTATGGGAGCCTTTAACATTGAAGTCTATGGGAGCCTTTAACATTGAAGTCTATGGGAGCCTTTAACATTGAAGTCTATGGGAGCCTTTAACATTGAAGTCTATGGGAGCCTTTAACATTGAAGTCTATGGGAGCCTTTAACATTGAAGTCTATGGCAGCCTTTAACATTGAAGTCTATGGCAGCCTTTAACATTGAAGTCTATGGCAGCCTTTAACATTGAAGTCTATGGGAGCCTTTAACATTGAAGTCTATGGGAGCCTTTAACATTGAAGTCTAAGGGAGCCTTTAACATTGAAGTCTATGGGAGTATTTAACATTGAAGTCTATGGGAGCCTTTAACATTGAAGTCTATGGGAGTATTTAACATTGAAGTCTATGGGAGTAATTAGCATTGAAGTCTATGGGAGCCTTTAACATTGAAGTCTATGGAAGTATTTAACATTGAAGTCTATGGGAGCCTTTAACATTGAAGTCTATGGAAGTATTTAACATTGAAGTCTATGGGAGTATTTAACATTGAAGTCTATGGGAGCCTTTAACATTGAAGTCTATGGGAGTATTTAATATTGAAGTCTATGGCAGCCTTTAACATTGAAGTCTATGGGAGTATTTAACATTGAAGTCTATGTGAGCCTTTAACATTGAAGTATATGGGAGTATTTAACATTGAAGTCTATGGGAGTAATTAGCATTGAAGTCTATGGGAGCCTTTAACATTGAAGTCTATGGCAGCCTTTAACATTGAAGTCTATGGGAGCATTTAACATTGAAGTCTATAGCAGCCTTTAACATTGAAGTCTAAGGCAGCCTTTAACATTGAAGTCTATGGCAGCCTTTAACATTGAAGTCTATGGGAGTATTTAACATTGAAGTCTATGGCAGCCTTTAACATTGAAGTCTATGGGAGCCTTTAACATTGAAGTCTATGGGAGCCTTTAACATTGAAGTCTATGGGAGCCTTTAACATTGAAGTCTATGGGAGCCTTTAACATTGAAGTCTATGGCAGCCTTTAACATTGAAGTCTATGGGAGCCTTTAACATTGAAGTCTATGGAAGCCTTTAACATTGAAGTCTATGGGAGCCTTTAACATTGAAGTATATTGGAGTATTTAACATTGAAGTCTAAGGGAGCCTTTAACATTGAAGTCTATGGGAGTATTTAACATTGAAGTCTATGGGAGTATTTAACATTGAAGTCTATGGGAGCCTTTAACATTGAAGTCTATGGGAGTATTTAATATTGAAGTCTATGGAAGTATTTAACATTGAAGTCTATGGGAGCCTTTAACATTGAAGTCTATGGGAGCCTTTAACATTGAAGTCTATGGGAGCCTTTAACATTGAAGTCTATGGGAGCCTTTAACATTGAAGTCTATGGGAGCCTTAACATTGAAGTCTATGGGAGCCTTTAACATTGAAGTCTATGGGAGTATTTAATATTGAAGTCTATGGCAGCCTTTAACATTGAAGTCTATGGGAGCCTTATATTTAACATTGAAGTCTATGGGAGCCTTTAACATTGAAGTCTATGGGAGCTTTTAACATTGAAGTCTATGGGAGCCTTTAACATTGAAGTCTATGGGAGCCTTTAACATTGAAGTCTATGGGAGCCTTTAACATTGAAGTCTATGGGAGCCTTTAACATTGAAGTCTATGGGAGCCTTTAACATTGAAGTCTATGGGAGTCTTTAATATTGAAGTCTATGGCAGCCTTTAACATTGAAGTCTATGGCAGCTTTTAACATTGAAGTCTATGGCAGCCTTTAACATTGAAGTCTATGGGAGCCTTTAACATTGAAGTCTATGGGAGCCTTTAACATTGAAGTCTATGGGAGCCTTTGACATTGAAGTCTAAGGGAGCCTTTAACATTGAAGTCTATGGGAGTATTTAACATTGAAGTCTATGGGAGCCTTTAACATTGAAGTCTATGGGAGTATTTAACATTGAAGTCTATGGGAGTAATTAGCATTGAAGTCTATGGGAGCCTTTAACATTGAAGTCTATGGCAGCCTTTAACATTGAAGTCTATGGGAGCCTTTAACATTGAAGTCTATGGGAGCCTTTAACATTGAAGTCTATGGGAGCCTTTAACATTGAAGTCTATGGGAGCCTTTAACATTGAAGTCTATGGGAGCCTTTAACATTGAAGTCTATGGGAGCCTTTAACATTGAAGTCTATGGGAGCCTTTAACATTGAAGTCTATGGCAGCCTTTAACATTGAAGTCTATGGGAGCCTTTAACATTGAAGTCTATGGAAGCCTTTAACATTGAAGTCTATGGGAGCCTTTAACATTGAAGTATATTGGAGTATTTAACATTGAAGTCTAAGGGAGCCTTTAACATTGAAGTCCATGGGAGTATTTAACATTGAAGTCTATGGGAGTATTTAACATTGAAGTCTATGGGAGCCTTTAACATTGAAGTCTATGGGAGTATTTAATATTGAAGTCTATGGAAGTATTTAACATTGAAGTCTATGGGAGCCTTTAACATTGAAGTCTATGGGAGCCTTTAACATTGAAGTCTATGGGAGCCTTTAACATTGAAGTCTATGGGAGCCTTTAACATTGAAGTCTATGGGAGCCTTTAACATTGAAGTCTATGGGAGTATTTAATATTGAAGTCTATGGCAGCCTTTAACATTGAAGTCCATGGGAGTATTTAACATTGAAGTCTATGGCAGCCTTTAACATTGAAGTCTATGGGAGCCTTTAACATTGAAGTCTATGGGAGCCTTTAACATTGAAGTCTATGGCAGCCTTTAACATTGAAGTCTATGGCAGCCTTTAACATTGAAGTCTATGGCAGCCTTTAACATTGAAGTCTATGGGAGCCTTTAACATTGAAGTCTATGGGAGCCTTTAACATTGAAGTATATGGGAGCCTTTAACAATTGAAGTCTATGGGAGCCTTTAACATTGAAGTCTATGGGAGCCTTTAACATTGAAGTCTATGGCAGCCTTTAACATTGAAGTCTATGGCAGCCTTTAACATTGAAGTCTATGGGAGCCTTTAACATTGAAGTCTATGGCAGCCTTTAACATTGAAGTCTATGGGAGCCTTTAACATTGAAGTCTATGGAAGCCTTTAAGATTGAAGTCTATGGGAGCCTTTAACATTGAAGTATATTGGAGTATTTAACATTGAAGTCTATGGGAGCCTTTAACATTGAAGTCTATGGCAGCCTTTAACATTGAAGTCTATGGGAGTATTTAACATTGAAGTCTATGGGAGCCTTTAACATTGAAGTCTATGGGAGTATTTAATATTGAAGTCTATGGGAGCCTTTAACATTGAAGTCTATGGGAGCCTTTAACATTGAAGTATATGGGA